TGGTACTGGCGGTGTCAGTGGTGGTGGTTGAAGGTATCTCTTGTCCCTCTTCAGAAGCATGCATTTGATATAGATTTGCTTAGTCACTTTTCTATTATTGTTTTGGGTGCAGGAAGGTAAGAGAATTGGAGAAAGTGTTCAGTGTGGCCCAGTTTTTATGTGTAGGTCAGCATCCAAGGAGGATTGTAAATGGTTCAAGCAGCATCTTTAAAGATCTTAAAAAGAAGGGAATTTGAGATGCGTAGCTACTGTTTTACTTCTCTTTTCATTGCTAAACATCTTCAATGATAAGCTTTTTTTTCTTTTTCCTCTTCTACTATGTCCTTTATCTTTTTCATTCCAGTGGCCTTTTCTTTCTCCCCTTTTATTCTCATTATTTCTAGGTGTCTATGACACTTTCTTGCAGTGTGAGCTTGGACAATTCTCCTGCCTGTCTTGTCCTCTTTGTTTTAATTTTTTTTTTCTCCATAATACTTAGCATTTGGTATACCATAGATGATCACTGCTTTATTTCTTTATGTTCTCTCTCCTTTCATGAGAATATAAGTTCCACAAGGGCAGATACTGCTTTATTCCCAAACCTTGCATTAGTACCTAGCACATAGTTGGTGCTTAAAAATATTTGTTGAATGAATGGATGAAGTTATTTAACTACTCTTTCTCCTATTAGGTCAAATAGATGTAATAATGATAATCTCATGTGGTTATCTGTAGGATTAAATGTAATAGTTTAAATTAACTGCTTGGCACACTCAGCCTGGAGTAGTAAGAACTGGTAAATTGACACTTGTTTTTCTTGTAACTTCTTTGCCTTTGGTATTTAGAGTGCTAGTCTGGTTAGCTTCTTACCACCTGTATTTTCTTTATGGCTTGTCTTTCGTTTGTCTCCTTAGCAGTTCCAGTTCCTGCTCAGTGGCCCCAATTACTTCTCTTTTTCTGTTGATCTATTAACAACATTTCAATTATTGTCAATAAAATATGTCATTAATTGACATAACTATATAATAGTTTCACTATCATTTTTATATATGATTATAGAATATATGTGATATGTGTAATATAGCTCATAGTAGTGGTAAGCATCATTCATGAACTGTCTTTCATTTCATGAATTATTCTGTGAGATAGCTGATGCTATCACAGTCACTTTACAGATAAAGAAAGGGAGACTTAGAGAAGTTAACATGTGGCCCAAGAGTACACACCCAAGTGCAGACCAAGAGATCATTTCTGTGTCTGGTTCTTTCTGATGCTTCATATATCCATCTATCCAAAATATGTGTACTGAGAATGTGGTAGGCACCACACTAGGCTCTGGCCACACAATGAAGAACAAAATGATACAGAACCTCCCACATGACCTTACCTGAGGGCACTGTACATGACTGTTATTATTATTATTATTTTTGAGTTGGAATCTCACTCTGTCGCCCAGACTGGAGTGCAGTGGCTGCTCCCGGCCACCGCAGCCTCGACCTGTTGGGCTCTGGCAATCCTTCCGCCTCAGCCTTCCAAGTAGCCGGAATTACAGGCATGCGCTAGCTACCATGCCTGGCTGATTTTTTAAAATTTATTGTAGAGATGAGGTCTCACTGCCCAGGCAGGTCTCGAACTCGCGGGCTCAGGCAATCCACTCACCTCAGCCTCCCAAAGGTGCGGGATTAAAGGCTGAGCCACCGAGCCCAGCCATGACTGTTATTATCATCACTCATGCTTTACTGACACACTGAAGCATGCCCGAGTGCCAGACATTTTTACTTCCCTATTTCAGCTTCATCTCAAGCTTCAGATACCTAAATCTGAGCTTGTGAGTTGCCTCTCTTTGTGCCTGGTGCCTCATCTACCTCACAATTGCATGGTTTTTCTTAAAATCACCTTTAGAAAAACCTCTTGTCATTTTTCCTGTCATACCAACTTAAAAGTTTGTAATAATGTTGATTACCCCATCTCTTTCATTCCATGCTATGTTCAAGACCTCCTGATTGCTTTCATCCTTGAAAAATTGTCTCTCTTATCTGTCTCTCTGTCTTCAGTTCCTTTCCATCATTATAAAATCAACATCTATGCTCTGATCTTTGGTTTTCTGAAATAGCCTCAAGGCTCTGTGTTCATTAATTTTATCCTCCATTTAAGATTTCACTAGATTGTAAGCTTCCTTAAAGCATAGATCCTGCCTGTTTATTATTGTTTTCCCAGCACTAGAGCAGGCACTTAGTAGACATTCAGGTGGTTAATAAATTAAAATACCTTTGATGCTTTAGACTACAGTTCTTAAACTGGTTCTGGATGTTTATCTCATGGTTAAGAGTAATTTTTCTGGAAGTCCATGTATATTCCATGTAGTCTCTTCTACATCTCAGTAAACAATGTATGTTTCTGCTTCCTTCCATTAATATTTGCTACTTTGTTTATTTGTTTTACTGTCTGCTGTCCTTCATCAACAGGAAGCTGGCACCAAAGCCCTAGAGAAATTTGTATTCGAAGAGTGGAAACTAATAAATGTTTTTCCCATTAAGAAACACTAATTTTTTATTTTTATGGCACTACCCTATAGAAACATAGTTCGAGAACCACTGGAGATTATGAAAAAACACTATGAGCCATTCAAAGTTTTAGATGTTACTGGGTAGAATGGGTTAATTTCTGTTGCCAAGAGTCTTTTTGCCTATTTTGTAGGAAAGAGCTACTTTGTATTTTCTGAAGCCCTGAAATAACTTTGTGGCTCAGGGGATTGATGGACATAGGATAGGAAGCCCAGCAGTTTTCCACCTCATCCTCTTTTCTCACTTGAGCTGTCTATGCCTGAGCTTGTGTTGGGAGCCTTAGTTTTTCTCCCATCCAGGAGGAAATGTGGGTTTGTGCAGGTGTGGAAGATATTAGTCTGACCTTCACATTTTCTGCTTTTACGATATCATTACTTTTCTCATTAGAAATAAATTGTTTGCACAGTTAGGAATGCCTGTGGATTGAAAGAACTTCACATTCTTAAGAATATTTTGAAGAAGCTAGGCTTGTGGCATTTCTAAATGTGCGTTATGACAATTTGAAATCAATCTTGTTGCCCATTCAGAGGATGTATATGTTTTTTCAGGATTCAAATTGAGACAAAATAAGAGCTGAATAACTGTAAATAGTTATGTCCCTAAATAAATATTTTTATAAATGACTTAATACTGACGGAATCTCTCATTCATTAAGATAACTGGCCTTTTTATAAGAATAATAACTGTAATTTAATATATTACATAATACCATGCAAACTGCTGAAGAAAAACTTGAATGCTATTTAACAGATACCATTGGACTATAGAATTTGGACAAATCATGATTTGGACCTAAGCATCCAACAGCAGTGGAGGGGTGTGTGTGTGTGTGTGTGTGTGTGTGTGTGTGTGTGTGTGTGTGTGTGTGTGTGTTTTTAAGCCAAAGAAAATTAACTCAGAGTCGGGTTCGGTGGCTCAGCCTGTAATCCTGCACCTTTGGGAGGCTGAGGTGAGTGGATTGCCTGAGTCCACAAGTTCGAGAACTGCCTGGGCAGGCGAGACCTCATCTCTACAATAAAACCAAAAATTAGCTGGGCGTGGTAGCGTGCGCCTGTAATTCCGGCTATTCGGGAGGCTGAGGCGGAAGGATTGCTGGAGCCCAGCAGGCGAAGCTACGGTGGCTGGGAGCGGCCACTGCACTCCAGTCTGAGCGACAGAGTGAGACTCCAACTCAAAAAAAAAAAAAAAATAGAAAATTGACTCAGAGTTGATATGCCTTGTTTTAAGTCAATTCTCTTCTATTATGAATTATGTAGTAGCAAAACCCAGCTTTACCATGTGTCTTAGTTTAATGTTGCAATAAAGGAAGATCTGAGGCCGGGTAATTTATTAAGAAAAGAAATTTGTTTGGCTTAGGATTCTGGTAACTGCAAAGTTCAAGATTGGATAGCTGCATCTGTTAAAGCCCTCAGGCAGCTTCCTCTCATGATGGAAAGTGGAAGGGAAATGTATGTGTGAAAAGAGGTCACATGGTGAGAGAGGAGGCAAGAGCGAGAAACTATTTTTCACAACCTTCTCACTAAGGAACTACTTTATTTCTGAGAGAACAAGAACTCTCTACTCCCTCTTCACCCCTGTCCATGAGAAGGCATTAATCTGTTCTTGAGTGATCCACCCCAGGACTCAAACACTTTCCACCAGGCCCCACTTCCCAACACACTGGGAGTAAAATTTCAACACGAGTTTTGGCGGTGACAACCCACATCTATGTCATAGCTCCATATAACCCAGCAATGACTATGACATTTATTGCGTAAGAGATAGGATGAACTTTCCAAAAGCTGTCTTCAGTGGACAAAGTATGTCTTTCTGTAACAACTGTATCAGATCACATTCATTCATTCATTAAAAAATGTGAATTTGTACTAGGCAGTGAGGATTTAGCAGTGTAGAAAGTGGACATAGTCAGTGCTTTCTTGGAGCTTACATTTTAGTACAAAATGCAATAAACATGTAAGTTCAGATAGCAAGAAGGACTAGAAAGATGTGCAGAACAGTGTGCTGGGGTGGGGTGAGGAGACGGGCTGCTTCTAGTAAGGAGGGTGAGGAGGGCCTTCCAGGAGAGGTGGCATGTGAGCTGAGCTGATGCATATGTGATGAGAAGAGTCAGCTGTATGCAGATCTAGGGGGAGAGCAATCTGAGCCCAGGGACAGCAAGCGCAAAGGTTTGACAGGAACAAGTACTATGTACTCAATAAACAAAGAGAAGGCTAGGGTGGCAGGGTATGGTGAGCAAGGGTGAGAGTGGTAGGAAGTGGGACCAGGAAGGCTGGCAGGGTTCAAATGCTGTCACGGATCACAGTCCCTTGTAAGGAGTCTGGATTTTATTCTACAGGCAGTGGGACATCACTAAGGGTTTTTAACAGGAGATGGCCAGATCTGTACCAGTCAGCTTCAAATGTGTGTGTGTTGAAATATTTCTTTTTAATGGAAATAATTTCCCTTTGTATTTTATAGAATAGACCAGAGGGCTGCCATTTGGTCAAAGGATGCTTTTGAAACTCAGCAGGACTTAAATGAGGTAGGTGCGATCGTTGCTCATTATATGAACATGAATTAATCAATCATGAGATTTATTATTCTTTTTCATAGTACTAGGAATTCTTTCTGATTAAATCTTTAAGTATTTTTGCTCATAAGCGAACTTCTCATGCTTGTAGGTCTTTGTTCAGTTGGTAATATTTTTTCTTGCTCTGGAGCAAACATATTTAAAATATTATTTGCGAGACTGCTCTCCACGTCTTGGCCCTGATCCAAGTCCAGCAGTCATTTCATTACACTCTTTTTCTTTTGCTTCAGGATTGTATAACCATGTCTGTGACAGTGGCCATTTGTAAAAATTTCTCTTAATCTTATTTTGTTTGCATCTTCTCTCTGTTTTTCCTAATGGCTTTTGCAGTTTCAAACATAATAATGCTTATTGTTTATCCAGTGAGCATGATATAGTTTGGTGTTTGCAATATGGTTTTCATAGATTTTGAGACATGAAGCCATATTTTCCAATCCAAATGATTTCCCACCAAGCTGGACATCACAATGTTAATTAACTTGTTCTGGATTTTCTTTGGAATATGTAATTTAATTCTCCTGTTTGAAATCAATATAATATAATTAGGATACCTATTATTATGAATGCCTTGGCTTAAGTCACCGGTTTGAAATACCCTGTCTGGCTTTTCTTGTCCTCATTGTAAATTAAGAAGCACTGGGTGGTGTGTCTGATTAGGAGCATAGCAGAGAGAGTGAAAATACTTGATCAGATGCCTAGAAGAGAAATGATGGACTTTAGACAAATGGTTCATTTGGCATTTTGAAAGTACATCTCTTCTTTACCACTCCTCAGCCCCCCACCCCGCCAAAATGTGTTTAGCTAAATTTAGGTGATTTTCTTTTTCTGTCTTTCTTTTTGGTGGAACTTGGTAGAAACAAATAGCTAAAGGTAAACCAGCTTCCTGGTTAAGCCACATTAAACAGCTAGAGTTGTGAAAAATGTCCTAAAGATAAGAACACAAAATGCTGTTTGTTATTTGTGTGTGTGTATAGTGGCAGGCTCCAAATTCCACAGTCTCACTCGTGGCAACAAGAGTAAAAAAGAGTTTAAGAGAAAAGAGGCAAGAGCCTGAATCAATGAACACAGCTGTCTGCCCCACTGTGAACAAGCAAAATGCTAGTTGTAAGGAAGCAATGGTTTGTTTTGACACAAATGACTAGAAAAATGAGGTGATTGTTAGAGTCAACTCGTGATAGCTTTCAAGTATTTGGGAGAAACTTTTTTTTTTTTGAGTTGGAAACCCATGAGAATGCCTAGATTACTTGAACATTTCCAAATTACAGCTGTGAAAAGTTCTATTTGAAAATCAGCTTTTTTGGTATTCCTTTACTATATGGTATTTGCAAATGACATGAAATGTGCCAGCTCACTGTGCTGAGATTGCATGAGAGCAAGAGTGCTGGATGGAGATGTGCATCTGAAACAGCAGGCAGTGCCATATTTAAAATACTTGTTTTCTTTTTAAACAATTTTTTTTTTTAAGATGTGGGGTACAAGTTAGGTTTGGGTACATAAGTGGTTTACATGCAGGTCAAGTTTGGGCCTACCATTGGACCTTACTTCGCCTGGATTAGGATCAGGCATCCTTATTGATGTTATGTATCCCTCTTCCCCACCCGCAATGTCCTTGTTTCCATGCAAAGGTGGAGCTGCTGATCCAGACTGATTGAATACAGTGTGTGCACAAGGTGATCTTGTCCCAGTCAGAGGGTGAATTCTGTGTATAGATTCACATTCTTTCATGTGGCTTCTGTCGTGGCCAAAATTTGAGAGACAAAAAGAGAGCTTAGAGAAGCTTGAAGGGGGTGCAGCATGAATGGGACAGAGGCCACACAGGAGGGTCAACGTGTTCACACTCATTGAAGGAGACGTCCTGCAGAGTGGGAATCTATTTAACTGCATCTTTCCCAGCATTTCTCAACTTATTAACCACACTCTTGTATGGAAGAATCTCTTAATAACATTTATTTAGGCGAAAGAGTTCTATGGAACCACAGATGGGAAACTGCTGTAATATTTTTAATGGAAATAGAAAATATGTACAGAAGAAATGCACAGATTGGAAATGTATAGATGGATGAATTCTTGCAATGTGTGTGACCAGCATATAGATCAAGAAGTGGCAATACCAGCATTCTGGATGCCTCTCTGTAATTCCTTCCAGTCACTATTCCCCTGTAAAGATGACTGCTATTTTTGAGCTTTCTATGAATGAGTTACATGTACTCTTTTGTGTCTTGCTTCATTTACTTTACATTATGATTGTGAGATTCATTCATGTTTGACATGTAGTTGTAGTTTTCACTTGCCTTACTGTAACCTACTGAATGGTTGTCTCTAGTTTTTGACTATTATGATCAGGTATTATTGATTTTTTAAATTATTATAAGCTGTTTTATGGCCTCTTTGTACAGCTGACTTTTTATTTTTTTTTTTTTTTAGTTGGAGTCTCACTCTGTCACCCAGGTTGAAGTACAGTGGCACGTAGGCTCACGGCCACCCCAGTGTGGACCTGCTGGGCTCTGGCAATCCTTCCGCCTCAGCCTTCCAAGTAGCAGGAACTGTAGGCGTGCGCTACCACACCCGGCTAATTTTTTTTTGATTTATTGTGTAGATGATTTCTTACCAAGTTACCCTGGCTTGTCTTGAACCTGCGGGTTCAGGCAATCCACTCGCCTCAGCCTCCCGAAGTACTGGGATTACAGGCTGAGCCGCTGAGCCCTGCCGTACAGCTGACTTTTTATAGGAGTATTCTTCTATCTCTAAATGGACATGTAAGATAAAGATTTTTTGTTATGTGAGCTCTCTTTATTGTTCTTTGTTCCTTACTTTTATTTATTTACCACCTCCACCCTTTTCTAAAAAAGCCTACCAGTTCCAAATCTGCACTCTTTCTTCCATATCAGCTTGCAAGTCTAAAATCAAAAAGAAACACAGTCCACAAGTATTTTCCAGATGTTTCCATGGATGCTGATGTTGTACATAAATAATAATAATTATTATAAGATGCTACAGATGTGTCTTATACTGTCCCCAAATTTCATATTTGGTATTTCCTTTCTACTATTTGAACTTCTTAGTCCACTTTCTCTGTCCCCAGTAGATGGGATGCAGGTGTGGTTCGGTTCTAGAGCTGTGCTTGACTGAGGTCTCCTGCACCTGATATGGTCATACATGGAAAGAAGTATCTGTGTATGGTGTCTCTGTTTGTGCTTTCCACACTTTCCCAGTGGACTGAAAAACTCACTAACTTCTCGTTTCCTTTTGGCATCAGTATGGATTTGACTGCTGACAGTCTCACTTTACCTCTGCCAGTCTCGAGCTCCTAGTTTTTTACCCTGAGTCTCTTGATAGGAATTGGATTTTTAGTCTATGCTTATTGGTGCTTCTGGGACAAGGGTATAGGGATTTTTTTTTTTCTGAAAAACTGATTTAATCTCCCCATTACCATTCACCTGAGCTATCTGATTCTGCCTCTATAAGTCAGTAAGATATTTCATTGTTTGGGGTTTCCTAAATCCTGAATTGAAAAATTATTAGATTTCAGATCTCTCAGTGTCTCATCCACCTTAATTCTTGGTCTTATTAGTCTGCCACAGCCATGTAATTGATAAGAATTCAATAGATCAGAAAGGGACTTGAAAGATAAAATGAGAACAGAATGATTGTTTTCACTGTCTACACATTTGTAGATCTCATTCCTGGCTTCAATTTTAATTAAGAAAAATAAAACATGTACAAAGAAAATCCCTTTTCTGAAAAGCCATGCCATATTGGACCCTCAAACTATATTTTCCAACTTCCAGTTTATTATTAAAGAGCAACACATCAACTTGTTTTAGTTTTCATTTGTAAAATTAAGGCAGGAGGTTTTGAATTGTACTAACTCTAGGAATTCTTTCAGGGATTTTTTTTAAGTTTAATTTTTTTAAATTGACAAATAATAATTATATACATTTACAGGGTATAATGGGATGTTCCAATACATGTATACCGTTGTGGACTGATCAAATCAGGCTAATTAGCATATTCATCAACTAAAATATTTTTTATTTCTTTGTGATGAGAACATTTAAAATCCTCTCTTTCAGCTATTTTGAAACATAAAATACATTATTATTAACTATAGTCACCACGCTGTGCAATGATAGAACACCAGAATTTATTCCTCCTATCTAATTGAAAATTCGTATCCATTAACCAGATCTCCATTTGCCCTGTTTACCACACCCATAAATCTTTGGTAACCACCAATTTACTCCCTACTATGAGTTCAATGTTTTAAGATTCCACTTATAACTGAGAGTATTTGGTATTGTGGTGTTTTAGTTTTAACACTCAGGTATTCTGTCCTTTTTTTCATTTTCCCAGTGTTTGTAGAATTTAGCCATAGGCTCCCGTCAAGAATGGAATGAAGCAAATTGTCCCAGAGTAACTCAGGATTAAGGCTTCCTTGTGGCCCAACCACCATCTCAAGGCCTTGTTTTGGGGAATAAATAATAAATAACAAATAGTGCTATAAAAGTGGCATATGTGCTTAGCTTAGTTAGTCTTATATGAGCAAGCAAGGCCACATTATCATAAGTAAAGTAGTGGTCAGCTGAGGATCTGCAATCGTATAGTCGTCCTGAGGAGCATGCTGAAGCTCTGGGTCACTTTGGGTGTTCTTCCTGGTTCTGCCATAATACTCGCCAAACCCAACTTTTATGCCATCATCCTACAGAAGGTAATATCACCTCAAAAACTGTTCATGGCCCCTGTATGCAGGGAAAAAAATGCTTTTTTATTTTTTTAATGTGACAGACACTTGGAAGGCATTATGCATTTACCTTTTGGATAAAACAAGTGTCAGCTGAGTGAATATGGAGTTTGTTTCCATTTTACTTTTTACCTGGAATTCTGAGGTCATAATGGTAAGGTCAGCCATAAATCAACTGATTTTTGAAGAAGATACTTTGATGTCCTTACAA